ACACATAATAAAAATAAAAATTGACATTAATTTTATCAATTGTTTAATAAAAATATCTACATATATGACATAAATATTAAAATTAATGTCAATTTTTTTATATAAATTAATATTTAAAAGATATATTTAAAATCTTTTAATTTGTGTTCTTAAAACATGCATTACACAAACTCATTTTTAAAATATAAAGTAGAATGTCATTCTATTTTTGCTCAGGCTTCCTCTTTCTTTCTCCTAGATTTTTATTCCTCTACATTTTTTGCTCACCTTCTGCAGGCATGATTACAATTGAATTCTTGGACCATATTGTTTCAACTCCAATCCTCCTAATATTAAAAAAATAAAACTGAAACTTGGAATTAAATCGTAGATCTATTCCTAGCAAGTAAGAGGAGAGAGTGAAAAGAGGATGAGACAAGTCATGATGCTTGAATTAGTCGTATAGATGAAACGGAATTGGTCTTTCCCCAGCACATGCCACCATTTTGTAATATAGATGAAGATGGAAAATGGCGTTTATCCATTCCATTTCATTTCCTATTTCGTCCTCAAATAATTGTCGTCATGTCATTTCTTTTATTATTTTTCAGGTTAACAAAAAGTACCACCTAAATATAGAAAACATTTAAGGTAAAAAATATATATAAAAAAACATTTAATTAAGAATATTACAGTACTTAATGGTGGCATTAATTAACCTTTTGTGACGTAATTGACTTCGGTATTTTTTTTAAAGAAAAATTTCTTTAAAGTGGGTGTACCAAATTTTTATTTTAATGCTTGAATATAATTTAAAATTTTAATTCTAATTATAAAAATTTTATTTTCTTATTAATACGGCTTATGCAATTAATTACTTTTTTAATTTTTTATGTAAAAAAATATTTTAATTTTTAATCATTAACTAAAGTAAAATATTTCAGTTAACTAAATTTTTAATTGTATTAATCAAAACCAAAAAATAATTTTAAATATTAAGTAATTAGAATTGAACAAAATATATTCATCTCTAATGATGAACAATGTAGTGAGAAAAGTAGAGAGAGAGTTTTGATTGTCATTTTTTAATTTTATAGCAATTTATTTAATTAATATTAATTGATAAAAATTTAATATTTTAACTATTATATCATAAAAGGATATTATAAGTATTATATAAATTCTTGATATACTTATAATAAATTTTGTTAGAGTATTTTTACTTATATAAAATTTAAAATTAAATCTTCTCTAAATAATGAAGAAAAATCTTATCTATGTATCATAGACGAGACTTAGTAACTTACCTCATTTAATAACAATAGTATATCTAAGAAAATAATAAAAAAAATTTACTGAAAAGGAAAAGCTATGCTATGTATAATATAAATAATTGACAAGAGATAACCTTTCTCTTATCGGTTTTTCTACATAGATTTGCTTATAATCATCTTAAAATAGCAAGCTCACAAAAGTTGCACAACGTTTGCAGTGTCACTTAGCATAGCAGAAAGTGTCGGAGGTTTTTTTTAGAGAAGAGAGGACTTGTAGGGTAAAGAGAGACACCCGGAGTTCTCTCATTTGGAGAGATGAGAACCCTTTTTTCTCTTGGGTTAAAGCCAACTGTCATTTCTCTACTATGTAAAAAAAATTTAATTTAACCCTTCTACTATGAAATCACCTCATGTCCTCCTCGACTGTATTTTAACTTAACATATCCTCCCTCTCAATTTCGTCCCCTGTCCATTTCATGGCTGATGGCGTATTTTTGGACTGTTAAAAGCTAGACGGTGAGGCGTTTGCTAGCCTTTCTAATTTTTTTGTTTTGTCCAACCAACCCACTAGTGTCATATCATCTCCCTTGGCGTCTCACACATTCATACACACAACAAACCTAGATGCAGACTAGAACACCTACAAATTAAGATCTACATTTACTTGGATTCACCTTCAGTTATGCTAAGACTTGAGATAGATTTACATGAAGCTTTATTAAAATGCAGGAAAATACATGAAGTTTCTTTCTCCTTCTCTTTCCGTCCAACTAGAGGCAAAATACAGGAAAATGACTAATTTAGTTATAGAACTTAAAAACCTCTACTCAAGTGGGTTTTAATTGCTCCCCACTTGGCCCACTTCTCCTCCAACTACTTGTCATTTATTTTAACAGGTTATACATAGCTAGATCGCACTAAACTCTCCCTAAGAAAGATATTTGATATGCAGCTTATTAAAATATTTAACATGTAATCTCATAATTAACCATTATTATATATTAGTCCCTAATTTTAGATAAGATGAAGGACTCTAACTAGAAACTCAATGCAAATAAGGACCTATTTTTTAAACTAATTGGAAATCAGGACTGGTATATCACATAAGTTCAATAGCCATAGAAAATCTTATACAATTATCATAGAAGAATTTTTCATTTTTTTCAAAATCTTTTACTTAGTAACTTACCTTATTTAATAACAATAGTATATAAAAAATTACTAAAAAGGGAAAGTTATGTTGTGTATAAAAAAATAAAAAATACATATAAAATTGATACGTAACAAACTCTCTATTTAGTTTCTCTCTTAATATTTATACATATAGATTTGCTTATAATCATCTTAAAATAGCAAGCTAACAAAAGTAACACAACTTTTGCTGTGTCACTTAGCATAGCAGAAAGTGTTGGAGGATTATTATTATTATTATTATTATTATTATTATTATTATTATTATTATTATTTATAGCAGTACTTGAAAGTGTTAGAGAAGAGAGGACTTATAGGATAAAGAGAGATATCTGGAGTTCTCTCATTTGGTGAGCTAAGAACCCAATTTTCTTGAGAGTTAAAGCCAACTGTCATTTTTCTATTATGACATAAAAGTTCAATTTAATCCTTCTACTACGAAATCACCTCATGTCCTCCCTCTACTTTATTTTTTCAGGTTAACATGTCTTCCCTCTACTTTTCAAAAAGTGTTCAATTTCTTCCCTCCATCCATTTCATGGTTGGAGGGTCTTTTTTGGATCGTTAAAAGCTAGACGGTGAGACGTTTGCTAGCCTTTTTAATCTTATTTTTCTTTCCAACCAACCCACTAGTGTCATATCATCTCCTTTAGCTTCTCACACACTCATACACACAACGAACCTAGATGGAGACTAGAACATTGACAAATTAAGATCTACATAGCCAACTTGGAGACACCTTCAGTTATGCTAAGGCTTGAAATAGATTTATACGAAGCTATTTTCCTTTTTCTAGTTCTTGGGTGGATTTGAGGAGAGAAGGGGCAGATTTGAAAACGAGAAAGTGAGATCAAAGGAAAAGGAAAGTTACGGATTCGAGAGTTTTATGTAGAAGAAGTTCCGGAGAAAGTACAGAATTTAAGAAATAATGAGAGAAAATATATTGGCATGAGGCAAAAGATGGGAAGAAGAGGATGAAGAGAGGAAGGAAAGAAGGAGAAACGAAGTTGGAGGAAGGGCCAGAAAAAAAAAAATGGAGTTGAACTAGAGGCACTAAAAGCAGGAAATGAGGGATAAAGTTTATATCTATTTTATATATCATAGCGTGTTTAGGTAAACTTCAATCTAGGAAAGGGTTGAAAGTGGATACCTCTATCAATATGTTGAGTGATTATAACTCTATACTTCATTGCTTGTTTCTCATCTGATCTTGAATCTAAAGCATCCAAACAGAATAATTAGTATGGTGCTTGTGGTCGCTACCACCAGAGATTGTCCTTTTTCTAGTGATGGTAACATAGTCCCAACCGGAAGCTTCTCTAGCTCCATGAACATTAGCAAATGGTTTGGCACAATGTGGAACCTTACATTATGGATATAGTTGTGCGAACTAGTACAATGGAGAAGATGGCTACGCCCTTCAGAGAGAAAACGGTCATGTTGTTGAGAGTGACAAACTTGTGATACTTGACCTTCATCGTGAGAGAAACAACACTGAATCCATTGTATGGAGAAAGTGAGGAGGTGGAATTGGATAGAGGAATAAACAGTATTATAATGAAATTCTGAAATAGGGCAAATTATGTTGGGATATATATATATATATATATGTATGTACGAGGAAGGATTTAACTTATATACAAGTTTTACATATTATACTCATTTAAAATCTTAATAATTTATTTTTATACTTTCAATAGTTGATATTTATTACACTTTTTAAACAAAAAAAAAATTTCTATCATGTGTTCTAAGAGTGCAATAAATGTACTTTTTTATAATTAATTTTTA